CCCGCGACGTTGACGCCGCCAGTCCGTCGCGCAACGTCGGCCCCAGAAGTCCCCACCCCTCCCACGGCACCGTGGCCTTCCGTCCCGCGCCGCTTCCCGGGGCGGCCCGGCCCCCTGGGGGGGGGGCCCCGCGAGGGCCTCTCCCGCGAGGCCACCGCTGGCCCCACGCCCGAGGGGGGGAACGGACAGGGGGGGCTATGGCAACGGGCGGGGCAGAGACTCTCGGGGGGCGGCCAAGAGGGGGGGTGTCCCAGAGGGGGGGTGCAGATCATGACCAGCGGCATGTGCGCGGCCCAGCGGGGGGGGGGCCAGGGACGTACTGAAACAAAAAGAGGCGCCAGAAAATCTGGAGAAATATCATGGCCCCCGCCAGGCTATCCGCCCCCCCCTTAGTCATCACCCCCCTCTTTTCTGCCCCCGAGACTCCGCTCACGTAGCGCTGACTTTCCTGGCCGGGAGGCGCCCGTGTGCCGAGGAATGGGCCCGGCGGCGGGGCCGAAACCGGCTGCATGCAGCAGATGTAGTGACCCGGCCCCTTTCCCCCTATCCCCCCCCTGTCGTTCGGCCCGAGAAGCCCTCCGCCGCTTCCTGTTTTGCGCGCGGGGAGGCCTGGGGGGATGGGGGGCAATGACCTGCTGCGGAATGTTTCGCTGGCCTTGTGGGACGACGGAAAAACGGCATGCACAGAAACTCTTTGGCGCTCCGCGCGGATGTCTCGGATCCGCGCTGGACCCCCCCTCCCTGGCGCGCGGAACGCGCCAGGGGCGCGGCCTGAGGCGCCGCCGGGGGGACCCCAGCGCAGATACAAGAAACTCGCGCGGAGCGCCACACAGGTTACGTTTAGGGCGCTTCTTCCTTCCTCGACATGATCTTCGGGGATCTTCTGACCCGGGTCAATCCAGACCCGGGTCAGTCAGGCTTTGCGGGGTCCTGCAAGATCCTGCGGGATCCTGCACCCAAGCCCGGGTCAATGCAGCCCTGGCCCTGCAGGATCCTGCCAAGAATCCGGCGCTGTGACGGACCCTTGCTTGCACTGGCCCCCGCCTCCTGAGCCTCGATGATCTATTGATGAATGTTTCGCAGGACAGAACTAGAGGCTTCCTGGATGGCGTCCGAGAAGATAGGGTCGGAGGATCTCGCCGCATCGGCGATGCATCGGCCGTGCACTGGCGACGTCGGCGATGCATCGGCGACGTCGGCGTGGAGAGAATTGTGTCACTGTGTCCCACATCGAGCCGCATCGCCGATGCATCGCCGATGCGTCGGCGAGGCGGCGCGATCCTTCGACCCCATCTACTCTGACCCCATCTAGGAGGCCTAGAAAAATGGGGGAGGAGGAGGAGGAGGAGGAGGAGGAGGAGGAGGAGGAGGAGGAGGAGGAGAGGAGGAGGAGGAGGAGGAGGAGGAGGAGGAAGAGGAGGAGGAGGAGGAGGAGGAGGGGGGGGGAGGGGAGCCGCCGAGGCTGCCCATCCGCCCGCGGGCGCGCCCCGAGCCGCCTCCGCGGTGCTGATCTGCCGCTCGTAGCCCCCGTCGCCCTGGCGGGCCGCCCGCCGCACAGAGGGGGGGGGGGGGCGAGGCGGGGATATATCCATACAGTCGGACTCGATTGGACAGGACACGCGAGAGGACACAAGACCCTTCCGGGGGCCACGTTGCCACAGAAATGCAGGAGGCATGGGTCGCAAGACACAGGACACGAGGGTACCCTTGATCTGGCAGGGTCGACCTACCAATCCGGGCCGCCTGTATCCACCGCCTGGGAACCGACGTCCTGGTGCCCCAGCGGACGGTGGATATGGATATGTTGGGCCCCCCGGGGCCTAGTATATATATATATATATATATATATATATATATCCAAGTGTGGCTTTGGTGCTTGTTCGGTGGATCCGATTTCCGTCCGCGCGGATCCGATTTCGGATTTGCTGGATCCGTGTTCGGTCTTATTTTCTTAGGCGGATCAGATTTTAACCCCATTTTAAATTTATACGGTTAAATTAAAACGGGGAGCCGGAACCGCCCCGTGTGAAGATTCTACGGGGGAAGGGGCTTCGGTCATTCACTTCCAGCTCATCATCGCCATCTGCACCTCAGGAGGAAAATCTCTCGTCCTGCGTGAGTGTCCACCGCCTGCCGAGGTCCCCAAAACTTGCTCCTCCAGGCGGTGGTCATGTATTATTACACCAGCGAAGAACCCCAATCAATGGACGGTTTTCGCTGAGGAGATCGACCGGGAGCCCGGGAACCCAGGAGCCCGGAACCCCAAATCGGCCCGGAACCCATCACCCGGAACCCGGGAACCCGGGAACCCAGCGTGCGACCAAACTCGGCGGGAAACTTTCGCCAAATCCTTCAACCTCCGCTAGGATGAAGTCGGGCGTGTCCCCCTGCAGGGGGATTTCCAACGAAACATTCAAACATACTAAAGAAATACTCCCAAATGGTAAACAAATGCTAAAAACATAGTCCCCAGGCTATTTTCTAAAATTACTATTTTTGAGTATTCCCCCTGTAGAGGGACAGGCCCGACTCAACGCTAGGACCCCTTCAGTACAAGCAAGCACCGATTGGGGAATAGATTCCTTACCAGCCTCGAACGTATCCCTATCCCTAAGATTGACACGCCAAAAGGGCGATGCCAATCTTAGGGATTCGCCTTCACAAAATAAGGGAATCCCTAAGATTGGCATCGCGATGAGGAGGTGCCCAGCATAGGGATAGGGGTATGTTCCAGGCCCAGGCTGGTAAATTCCCGCCTTGGTGGGGGGGCGGGGCGCTTTGGAGCCGCGAGCCGCCGCGCGCGGGGCACGCCGGGGCGGCCCCCAGGCAGGCAGCTGCCGGGGGGCCTTCGCGAGGACGAGATCGGGGATCTTCTGACCAGGGTCAGGGCCTTCGCGAGGACGAGATCGGGGCCTTCGCGAGGACGAGGTCAATCCAGACCCGGGTCAGCCAGGCCTTGCAGAATCCTGCAAAACCCTGCAGGATCCTGCACCCAAACCCGGGTCAAAGCGAAGGATGCTGCAAGATCCCGCAAGATCCTGCACCCATACCCGGGTCAGTGCGCCCCTGGCCCTGCAGGATCCTGCAAGATCGGGGCGCGCTCGCTGACCCCCGTTTGCATTGACCCCCGTCTCGAGGCTCCCGACGAGATAGGACAGCCACCGGCACCCATCGGTCGGAAGAGGTGGGCAGAATGATACCAGAGACCCAAAGATCCGACGCACTGAAAAAATCAAGACGGAGGTTTTTTGCAAAACTCGGCCCCGGAGGGCCCTCGCCGGGTCAAAAAACGACTCAGGATGAAAAACTGGTCCTGGAGAATGGGTCGAGACTCTGGGGGACCCCGTGTTGAAAAAATCACGACATCGGATCTCGGGGGAGTAGCCCCAATCAGCGGATGGTTTGATCGACAAGGAGATCGACCCGGGCCCCGGGGAGCCCGGAACCCACCAAACTCGGCCCGGAACCTAATAACCAGGAACCCGGGACCCTGGAACCGGGAACTCGGGAACCCAGCGTGCGACCAACATCGGCGGGAAATTTTCGCCAAATCTTTCAACTTCCGCGAGGACCCCTTCGGTGCAAGCATTTATTGGCAAAAAACGAAGTAGCAGACTGGGTTCGGGCCCGCCCCAAGAGTCACAAAACGCAGCAAGAACACATCGATTCTTGAAGGAGGGCGCTTGAAATCGTACGGAAACGGACTCTGTACACCGACGCTTTTTCTGGCATTTTTCGTTGTTTCCCCGGGATAACAGGGGAACAAGTATACACCACACCACCCCGTCGTCCCCGACCATAGGAAAATCCTGGGATTGAGAAACAGCCCGTTTCTGGTAATGTATATGATTTAGTTTCCGATGTAAGCCCGACTGAAGGGCCATTGTGGAAGAAAAGCATCGGCACAACATAATCTTTTTTGCGCGCCGATCCGAGAAAACCGCGCGGAGCGTCGGAAATTGATGCTTACGCCGCCCTTTCTAGTTCGAAGTAAGCCCGACTGAAGGGCCATCATGCCAGGTTGGGCCGGATGAGGCCCAGGAGTTGGATTGGGCAAGATCAGGCCTCGGGTTCGGCCACATGAAGCGGGGTTCTATCGGGCTGAGCCGGCTTCATACCACGGATCTGTCGTCGCGGATGCTGCACTGAGCCTCGCAGGAGCCGCCTTCCTCGAGGGCCGTGCCTCGACGGCCGGCCATCGTCGACAGCACCTGCCGACGCGTGCTCGGCGCCAGCAGGCTGCGCGCCTTGCCCATCATGATCAGCTGCACCCTGCCGTTCACGCAGTTGCCCTGGCGCGCGTGTCCGTTACAGTGCGACCACCTTCGGGCCTGGAGGGACCAGAGCACAAACGACACCACCCCACCTAGAGCCCCACGGGCCGTGGCGCATACCTAGACGTCAGGCGTGGGCTTTTGCATGGTATACGCTACGGACCCCGATGGGACGTAGCGCAACATGGAGGGCCGCAGGTGGGGTGGTGTCGTTTGCCTTTTGGCCGACTGGAGCTTCCCACAGCTGGTGGCCGCCACGGCATGCGCAGTGCATGCTCGCTGCAGACACGGCCGAAGCGCGGCAGTTCGGAACGCTTGTGCGCTTGCGTGGGCTCACGCTCGGGCTGGCCGTCTGCGCACGCACTCCTGCGCACCGACTTTGCAATCCTGAATCGACGGAGCGCGAGACTCCGAGACGCCATCTCTGATGATAGATTGCGAAGAATTGCAGGGCAAATCCTACCTACGAGTGTGAATTAACTACCGATCCCTACACTGAATCAAAGCACGAACTTCCACCGTTGTTCAGACTGCCTGCGTACCTAAATTCAATCACTGGCTGGATCTACACGTTATGCTGTCTTATCTGCATCGGCAACCCTGGCTGTGACGATGCCCTCAACCTCCGAAAACATGATAGTTACCATCTGGCAATGCCGACAAACGCAATGCAAACAGTCGACATGAGTGCCGTGTCGGTCAACAGCCAGGGGATGATCTCGTTGATCAGATGTATGCCCTTCTGGTAGCACAAGCGCCTGCGCTGACGCTTCCACACGTTCCCACATTGCTCACGCCTTGCGTGCGAGCAGACTTTCCTAGAGCTGCAAAACATGGACCACAATCGGACTCGCACACTGCATGGTTTCGGAACCGTCGGAACCGACGCCACAACAACGTGGGTCATCAGCATGATCCATGTAGCCGAAGACCCATGGCCTCATGAACGCGCCCGGGCCAGGTAACCTTCCAGAGTGGAGAGCCCGAACACCCGGAACGTAATCGCACCACCTCGAACGCACAGGGTAGCTCTGAACCCTCGTGTTAGGTCGGCCATGTCCCCCTACAGGCGGAGTTTGGACGAACAGTAAAAAAATAGCCAAACATACTCCCGAAAGGCAAGAACATAGTAAAAACATTGCCCCCGTACTACTTTTTGAGTATCTTTGAGTATGCCCTCGCCTCCAAGCACTCCCGCGCGGGATCCGGGAGCGTGTGTGCGAGGGCCACCTGCGGGGGGACCCTGCGGCCTGCGGCCCACGCGGGCGCCTCGAGGGGCGACCGCTCCCGCTCGGAACCCGCTGCGAAGGTGCCTTGAAGCCTGGCCCGCGAACGGCATGCATCGCACCGAAAGAAGCAGGCGCCACGGCGCCACTGCATTCAGGTCGGGCATGTCCCCCCAGAGGGGGCCTTGGGGCGAAACATGAAAAATAGTCCAAACATACCTCGAAGTGGTCAAGACATACTCAACAAACCGCCCCCAGACTAGTTTATGACTATTTTGGAATATTCCTCCTGTAGAGGGACAGGCCCGACTTAATACTGCATTGCTGTTCCCGCATCCCCCGCCTTTCTCCTTCCCTCTCTTACCGTCCTTCACGGCCACGGCTCATCACGGAGGGAGGGGTGCGCGAATCTCGAGGGGGGTGGTGGCTAGCGAAAAGACGCAGAGGAAAGGGAGATGGGGGAGCGAACCTGAGTATTGCTTGATTCGCGGCGAAGAAGACTTGGAAGTCCGCGCCGGTTTCTCGGATCCGCGCTGGACCCCCCTCCCTGGCGCGCGGAGCGCGCCAGGGGCGGCGCCGGAGGCGCCGCCAAGGGGACCCCAGCGTCGATGCGAGAAACCCGCGCGGACCTCCGAGTTTTCAAGTTTCTGTCATTGTTCGGTCCCGTTGAGAGGGGTGGAGTCGGAGGGCGACCATGAGCAATTAGGTGAGGACGTGACAGAGGAGGGAGAGAGAGGGCGACTTCAGACGTGGCTATCTGCCAGAACGGAAAAATCTCGCTGTGGCGCGAGCAGCGTGCCTAGAACTGGCAGCACGTCACTGCTCTGCTGCGTGACATTTTAGTCATCAAAATTTCCAGGGGAGCTCCGATGACTCTGTCGCCAACGTCATCGGAAAACCGAGTACGTGCGTCGAGGCGATCACCAACTAAATCCACAACATGTTTTCGACGGTCTCGTGCACATGTGCACAATATTGTCCAGCAATCGCTACCTTCTTCGAGACGCTTGCAATAGTGTCGTCCCATGCTCGCTTGTTTATGGCTCATGCGCCACCGCGCCCTGAGGCACGAGTTGGAGTGTTCTCAAGCCCCTTTGAGTCATTCGTCCTGTCCAAGGTGATTGACGATGATAGAAGAAGAAAAACAACACAAACATAAACTATAAACTTTTGGCGCTCCGCGCGGATTTCTTGGTTCGGCGCTGGACCCCCCTTCCTGGCGCTCGGAGCGCGCCAGGGGCGGCGCCGGAGGCGCCGCTAGGGAGCCCCAGCGCAGATCCAAGAAACCCGCGCGGAGCGCCAACAGTTTATGTTTATGGCGTTTTCGGAATGAGTAGAGGGCAGAATATCCACTCCGATAAGAACCACCCCGATACGCGAGGCCTTTGGTTATAACGCGCCCAAGGAAGGAACCGAACAGGGCAGGGGCTGCTTAGTAAACGCCCAGGGCCGCTTGGTGAACGCCAATGGTCTGGTCCGGGTGGTTTTCCCTCCCTGGAATCAAGTCGGACCTGTGCCCGTACAGGGGGATGTTGGAAGGGGAGAAAAAATTAGCCAAACCGTGCCCCCAAATGATCAAACAAATACTGAAGAAATAGTCCCCAGACTATTTGTCGACTAGTTTTGAGTACTCCCCGAGGAGGAATCGAATCGATAAGTCGGATCGGCGATCGACATAAGTCGGATCGGCAGAAATCGGCAGCCGAGTCGGGAAAAGTCGAATCGGCGGTAATCGGCAGCCTGGTATGCGTCCAACAAGGTATCGGAGCCCAAATCGGAACCCGAAATCGAATCGAATCGGGATCGGAGGCCATCGGAGTCGAAGCGAATCGAATCGGAGGAGTCGAAACGAGCCCTGCTCCCCCTGTCGAGGGGCGGGCCCGACTTCTCACCCCTGGAGGGCAAGCGGCCCGGACCCCGAAACTCCCAGAGGCCCTCGGGCGCGCCGCGTGCCCCTCGGGGGCTCGTCGCGGGCTCCCCCCGCGGTGCTCTCCCCCTGCGGGAGCCGGGAGGAGGAGGAGGAGGAGGAGG